CACCGAGTCACGGTCCGCAGCGGTGTCTGCAGCATATGCTGCCGACACGCCCACGTCCGTGATTGGCTATCACCTCGACACGCGCCACTCGTCCGTGATTGGCTACCACCACACGGGTTACTGTGTGCAGACGCGAGCCAGCCAGTCATAGACTAGTGGGCGTGTCGGCAGCATATGCTGCCGACACTGCTGCGGCCCGTAACTCGGAGGTTTCTCCTGCAAGTCTGTCTGAGAAGTGATCTTCCTAGATACCAGTAGAAGGCTTACTGAGCACTGTTCTACTTATTGGAGCGACTACCAGGTTTAATTCACACATAACAGAGGTCCAACATATTACATTATGGAGATGTACTTCGAGTGAACTTCTATGTATGATATAAACAAACCACTGTTGATGGTTCTTCAACTGCATATTCAAATTGCACCCGCACCAATTCCCACAGCAGGTAATCAGTCTACATGAAACGGGACTAAGCTAACAAACGTCTTGAAAACATCCTTCCGTCAGAAACTTTACAAATACAACTGAACCCCAGCCACAATAACACCCGTAATCACCTCTTCATTCTGTGAGGTGAATGCATTGTTGAAGAAGGGGCATCCACCTTGTTGTGGAGGGAGGCTCCTGAAGGACCAAGACGGTGCACTTTGGTGGCGAAGGGCGCGCCCGTTGGCCTGGCGAGGCTCTACCATAGTGGCCACTCCTTCGTGGATAGTACACCTCCGGGTGACATACCGGCCGTATGATCGCTTGGTGGTGAAAGGTCGCCGTCTGCGGGGGAAAAAGTGTGGAATGGTAGAGCGATGCCTCAACGTTGATGACAACAGCTACTGAAGCACCTCGACAGCGCAGAAATCACCAGGCACAAAAGCCCCGTTCCGATAATTGAAGGCCTTTTTAGTTCATTTCCTTTGCCACAGCACCATTCACCACCTCTGCTTTCATTTCCGGGGTTGATCAAGTCGCACCATGTGCTTTTCAGGTAAGGTCCATTTAAAAATGGTTGCGCTGAAAGAAACTTGGGGATGTCTGCAGCGAACAGTTCGTATGTTGAAGTCGCTCCCCTAGTTTGGGGGATGAGAGGATGTAGAGCAGTGACCTACCTCGTGAGACAAACAGTGAGTGATACCAACCTTGCGTGGAGCAACATACAGCCGTTGGCCATCGTACGAATAGTGCATATCGGTGATAGCCGTTGACTCTGTTGAAAACATGCATTCCAAGGAGTTGCTGCGATCGGAGTAGAAGCCAACTAGAAAAAGGTTGTTATTAGTTAAGTAGGTTAAAGGCAAACCCCGGGATTAGCCCGACTAGTAGGAAGGATACCGCGAGGGAAATTGTAAGGTCCGTACCTACCTAGATCACTCCAGCTTCGTCGCAAAAATTGCGCGGTTAGGGCGCTAATCCTTACGGGCCTGCAACCAACCCCGTTGCAACGCTTCCCACCCACCGCGAGATGTGGTGAGATCAGCGTGCTCTCTCGAACGACGTGCTCTCTCGCGTGTTTTGTCTTCTTTGATCGCCCTGCCTCGCCATCGTACCACATCC